CCCCCCCCCATAAAAAAAGGTGGTGTTGCCAGTTAAAATGCAGACCAGTAAACAGTCAGCTTAGTCAGTGCAGCTTAGTGAAGTCAGAAGTGCAGCGTCTGCATATTTTCTGTAGAGGGACGCACTGCTTCATAAGTGGGCTCCACAAGGTGGCACAGAAATGAAAGGTGACTGCAAGCAAGGTTTACGATGGCTTCTGTTGGCAGAGCACGAGGTTTAACCCTAATTACTTGGTGTTTGGTCAAAGGCATGAGGACCTTTAGCAGTGCTGCAGAATCAGGGGTCTCAGATGAACTACCTGTGAATTTCATAGATTATGTTAATGGTTTCTGGCACAAACTATGTGGCAGACACTCAAAACAGAACCTGGAAAGGTTTCAGGTCAGGATGAAATATTTCAATGAAGCAGCAGTTCAATGATGGTGACCAGGTCCTGGCTTTGTTTTGCCAGTTGTAGGAACAGTGTATGAGTCTCTGGGCCAAATACTGTGAAACAGCAAACGTCAGAACAGAATGATCTCATATTTCTCCAGACCGCAGGAAGAACCGTTTGTCACGTTAATTTGTTGAGACCATATCATGTTTGTGCTTTATCTCTTGGTTCATCAGGCTCTGTAGACTCTCCTTCCTCAGCAACAGCTCCACCTTTGACTGCTTGGACAGCAGCACAGTCACAGTCACACATTTGTGTGGGGCAGGAGCACCAGGTGGATCTTTGCTGCACGGTCAGTTGAAGAATTCAAAAAACGTTTGATGAAAAGTAATGAAAGTAGCAGCCAGGTCCTCCTTATCAAATCCAGTTGATGAATGAATTATCGTTAAGTGTGACAACCTCTATAACATCAAAAAGAGTTACATCTGAGACTCGTTTAACATGCTATCAAAGTCCACGGCAGTACGACCAGAAAAAGACCAAACAGGGTTTGTCAACATTTCAGCTTGTAGCTCTGCAGCTGTTCATCATGCTCATTATTCACTTGGATTTTATTTAAAGATAAGATAAGATAAGATAAGATAAGATAAGATAAGATAAGATAAGATAAGATAAGATAAGATAAGATAAGATAAGATAAGATAAGATAAGATGAGATGAGATAAGATGAGACCATCACCAGCAGACAGTTGTAAACTAAACACAAACCTTTGTTTTGGCTGAATGCAAAGTTCCCGAAACTCTGAGTCTGTGAAAAGAGAACAACAAACGAAATCTTTTGACTGACAGAAAAGATACAAACAAAATAACTTTACAACACGAGAAGAAAGGGAGGACTGAGGCTGTAAATGTACATGAGGGAAACCAGAATAATGAGATGCTGCTGGAATTAATCCAAGAAGACAAATGAGACAGAAGCTACCAAAATAAATCAGGAAGTGACAAAAAGAGCAACGGAAACAGAGAATTAACAACACACAGAAGACAGTAGGACAGGAAGACTGAGCCTCTGGGACTTAACTCAAACAATTAGCAATAATTAGTTATATAAGGAGACAGAATTAAAACCAAGCATGAAAGCGTGAGGGGAAAGCTAAAATAAAACACTCAAAATGACCAGAAGAAAGAACTAATTAAGCAGAAACATACAATAATGAACACAACTACAAGAGTAAAGGTTAATGGTAGAAGAGGGTAAAGGACCCAGCACCATAACAAGTTTCTCAGTTATTTGATTTTGGCGTCATTTTTGTTGATGAAATAATAACACAATATTTCACACACTATGCAGTTCTGAGAAAAATAATCATTTCATTTCAAAAACAGACACGTTGGATTACTGTGCAGCCTACAGCACAGTAATCCCAGCTGGAAATGCTGCACCAAGATACAGCTGCTGCACATCTCATGAAGCTGTTCAAACTCCATAATAACATCTCTCCATCGCTGCAGCCGTTTTGCTCATAAAGCTACATTCAGTACGGTGCATGTCTGTTTAGCTGCAGAATAAAGGAGTACTCACAGACGTGCAGTGACGGTGCTCTGCTCACTCCACAGACGTGGACTTTGCTTTGATGACTAGTTAAACAGCAACACAGTTGTTTGTATTCAGAGTTGAAAGTCCTTAACTACAAGTGGAAATTCAGCATGCAGCCAGTCAAACAGACAGTAAACACTATTCAGTCACATGCTCAAATGAACAATGTTATTTATGTGTAATGAGCAAAACTGTGGTTTTTCTGGACAGTTACTCTTGAGTTTGGCATGTAGTGGGTCAAGTATAAAGAACAACACTCATGTTATCTGGATGTTATCTGTTTTTGCTGGACAGTACTGAGGCACTCTGTAAGTTGGGGGAAATGCCTTCCTTCTTGTAGTAAGTGCGCAGGGAAAACATACAATACAAATCAAAAAACACATCAACCCATTTGAATCAAATAGCAGCCTGGAAGGGAGGTGAACCATAAAAGGTGCTACAAAGAAAAGCAGATGCACCAACAATGTCAAAAACACACATTTCAAAGGTGAAAATACGGTTTTACAAAAGGACATCATAAACAACACTCACCTTTTCCATAACGTAGGGTTAGAGGGGTGTCCTCATTCTCATTCTGTTGTAATGCATTCGCCCTTTTCTTCATTCTCACGTTTGCCCCATTTCCTCTCGTCACCTTGCACACATTAAATAAGGACTTTCTACAGGGTGGGCCATTTCTATGGATACAGCGTAATAACATGGGAATGGTTGGTGATGTTAAAGTCCTGTTTGTGGCACATTAGTATATGTGAGGGGCAAACTCCTCAAGATGGGCGGTGACCATGGTGGCCATTTAGAAGTCGGCCATCTTGGATACAACTTTAGTTTTTCCAATAGGAAGAGGGTCATGTGACACATCAGACTTATTGGTAATGTCACAAGAACAACGATGGTGTGCTTGCATTAACTCAGCCAGTTAATGTGAGACAATTTGGATTTTCCAATTAACCTATCCCCACAAGCTGCATGTCTTTGTATGTGCCACTATTTTATTTCATTTCTCTTTTCATAAGATTAGGCTTAAAAGTTTCCTTTTTGACAAAGCTCATAGTCAGGGCAGGATCAGGTGTCCCCATAGCCACACTGTAGTAGGCCTATGCTGCTGGAGCCTTCCTGTGAGAGGGCCATGTGACACATCAGACTTATTGGTAATGTCACAAGAACAACGATGGTGTGCTTGGTTTCAACGTAACTTTATTCTTTCATGAGTTATTAATAAACAAATAAATGTTCCAGTTCTATGAAGCTTTGAGTATTTTGGATCAGTAGCTGCTGTGTTTGTTGCATCATATTGCTGTAACTGTTTATATGCTTTATATATTCTGAGCTAAGTTGATCTATAGTGTTACATCATATTCTATAAGGATGTTATGTGTTTGTAGACTTTCTGCCCAGTTTGACCCATTTAGCAGACGTCAGCCTGTTTAAGGCTCTGATATCTATTCTGTGTGACTTACAGCAGTTATGACAGGGTCTGATTTCCTCACCCAATAAAGGAATATTTCATATATCAGTCGACTGTTCATTCTATCAGACACAGTTATCACAGCTCCTACATTTCTTTTTACACATATATGTAAGCATTGAGCCACATTTAGTAATGCCAACATATTAAAAGAACAATATTTGTCTCTTATGTATTACACATCTATATATACACTGTCAAAGATACTTGTCTTTGAGTGAAGATTTAAGGTGATAGGAAAATAACTGCAACATAAATCTTTACTGAAGCTCAGTATTTGACACAATGTTCAAACTCACTGCTGTAATAACTAATAATGATTAATATAATAACTATAATATTGGCCATATTATATTTACACTGACTTTAGTCTCATGAACAACATCAGCTGATTGTTATTTACGAGCTGATCTTAAATGACTGTTCAGCACAGAAATGAAGCCCAACAATCATGTTTACAGTCCTGTGGTCTCAGCCTCAGATACTCAGCTAATCACAGCTCATGTAGAAACAAATGTACAAAATATGTTCTCCTTCATTTCTGTCACACAAAGCTGTATGAAACGTTTCCAGCTGTTAGTATCATGGTTGCTAGGCAACCTGAGCGTGGAGGCTAGACCGTCCCATTTCACAAACCTACAAGCCTCGCACTTCCGGCCTTAGCGGTCTTTGAGTACGCGGCCCTTGAGGACCGCTGAGGCTGCAGACCCTGAATTGGGATCCAGCCTGTGTGTCACAGAAATAAGAGGCTGCAGGGGAAGCTGCTTCTTGGGTCTGACACTGAGGGCAGACGGCTGCTCTGAGGTCCTTGCCTTGCTAGCATGTGAAAAACCGGTCGAGCTGTTCGTCTTGCTTCGTTAACGGGAATAAGTCTAAACCAGCGGGGCCTGTGAAGCGCAGACCCAACAGACCTGACTCGAAATTTCAAGTTATGGAGAATTTTTTATTTTTTGTGTGGTGGAAATGGGCATCCGTAGCCATGACCTCTGATTGGGGTTTGAGGTTTTGTTGAGGCAGCAAACACAAACAGTCATGGCACTAGGCTGCATGTGATGTCACTTACCTGAGCACACAAACATCATTAACGCCATCACGAGTACTGTTTAGTTTTGCAAACATTGTTTTATTAATCCATCAGTTTGTAATATATAAATTACTTTTAAAAATCTGAGAAGCAGCTGCACCAACAAGAAGAAATGAAAACACAGGAGTTATAAAAGCCTAGACTGTGTTTACAGAAGCCATTTACCCAGGAGGTCCACGTCTCCCACAATCCTTTCAAGCCTCCCGAAACGTATTCGTGTTTTTTCTGTTTTACTCAACAACAGTACGATTTTTGTTAAAAAAAGGTCTCTGCGTCTCCTGTGGCACTCGGTCCATCCAGCTCAGTGCAATGTCAGGGAGTTTGTTTGTTGTTGGGAGGGGCTACGGCGTGTGGCAACATGCTCACTTCTCCTCCTCATCACGTCTCACATTTCATTCGCAATGTCATCGAGCTCTCCTGCCGACAGGTCGCCATTAGAGCTGATTACGGTGCTGTTGTCCTGGTAACCAGGCGGCATGAAGGCCAGGCTGTAGGGGTAGATCTTATGGCAGGCAGCTCGATAGGCCTCAGCTGCCTTCTGCTGACCCTCCCCTAGCTGGCCGTCACGCAAAGCCTCCAGGACCTCGGCACAGATCTGCAGCACAACACACACAAAGTCAACTACAGTGGACACAAAGCTGCTGTGTGACGTCGCTGCGGACAGCATCACAAACCTGAATGCTTCGTCCAGCCAGCGACTCGTCCAGCGCTGTAGCTATCTCACACGCCATCTTATCAGAAGAAGGCTCCAGGTAGACCATCATCTTAGCGGCTGAGAGACGACACACAATGATTTCAAACAACACTGAACATCACGTACGAACTGACAGAATCTGAAAAGCAGTATGACCGCCTTTGTTATCCGACACAGCCAGCGCTCTGTGGCGAGCTCCTTTCTAGTTCGTTGTAGATGAAACGGTTCAGAAACAGTTCTTTTTAAAAGGATATTCTAACAGCACCTCAGGAGGGGTTTCGCTCTGTTCTCTGTCAAGACGAGCGCTTCGATAATGAGGTCTGAGGCTCTGCAGAGGCCAATCTGGAAATTTACCTCCTGAAAGATTTGACAAAATATGAGTTTTAGGGGTTTATTAACATTATAGCATTTCCTATTGTATAGTTCAAATATAAGAATTATATTAAAGGGAACACCGACCCGCCGGGTTGTAGAGCACCTGATTTCAAAATGTCTGTAAACAGCGTCTGTTGCAAACTAGCATCACACGTTTGTTGTTTTACATTCATTTCTATGGGACCAAAGTGATTTCCTGAGCAAATACGAGTACTCATATTTTTCCCTTTTTACTCTCAAACACCCTGAAATTCACAATATGATCGATAAACATAAATATGACACGATGCCGTTTTAATTTAACATGAACATATAACATGACCTTTGAAATATAAAGGATCAGTAGAAGCCCGTTGATGGTAAGGGGAGGGATCTCAAACGTTTTACAAATGCATACATGTTCAAGTGCAAACTAGTAACTAAGCTTAAACATGTGTGCAGTCATTGGTGTGCAACGTTTGAGGGCTAAGCTGCTGCTAAAATGTTCACTTACTGGAGACAACATCAAAGTGTTATTCCACGTTTCCTGGATTATATTTATATTAGAACATGTAGAGCTGTATAAAGTGCTCAGCTGGAGGAGACAAAGCTGTGTAAGAACAAGTCCATTTGAACATTTAAGGTTTGGATAAAGGCGAATGTAAAACCGCTTCACGTGCAGTCAAACTGCTTTGTGTTTGTATAAAGGACGGGGAGCACACAGTGCCAGGCTTGTTTGGTTTCGTTTGCTCGTTTGTTTCAGCTCTTTGACCATGTTGGTGCAAAAACATCATCTTAAACCTGCCAAACTTGTCTTCCACACTTAAACAAACGGGAACAAATGGCCAGAAGCAAAGTGCCAGAAACACCATTTAAATGGACTTTTGGCACTTTGCTACTGTTGTGTTTAGACAAACAGTTACTCTTCCCTTATACATACACCAGTGTTAAGAGGCTTAAAGTTACAGCGTACCAAGCTTCCACCAATAGTTAGAAAACACAACTCGGTTGGCTGCAATATGCTGACCCCCCTATCACGTGAATGATCCTAGCCTGGTGGGTAGGACAGGACAAACATGTTGTAGCCAAGACATCGAAGACACGACATTTGGACGGTACCCACGATGACCATGGTTGGTGCAACAGGGCGGCCCTTAGCGGCTGGAATCACAGTGAGATGGACCAGGGCAAGTGCAGTGGCACAAGTATTAATTTGCATACAGCTCTCCTTACAAACACTTCATCTTCTGACAACTGGCAGCCTTAAGTACTTCCAGCTGTCACAGACTAAACCATTATTCCACTCACAGGTAAATTCTCAAATCCCAACCTTCCACCACATTACACAATATATCAATTAGAATAAATAAATATATACATTTCACACTTTCATATTAACAGATATTTGACTTTAATCTTATACCAAAGCCCTTATTATAAAAACCCAAACATCCAAGCACAAAGACTGCCCACACTCCCTTAACCCACGGTCTCTCCCAGAACCTTTAAATGGTGTCTGGACCTTGGAGACAACACAGGAAAGAAAGGTGAGTCCTCACATCTTACAGTCACTTCTTTGCATCACCTTTAATTCTACATTTTTCACACACGTTTGCATTACTTCTTACTGGTAAAGCTTATTTTCTCTCGGTCACCGTCCTTTTCACAGACACCACCACGTTCCTTGATGAGGAGCAGCTGTGCAGGATCTGAAACAAGGCTACCAACTGCTTTTAAAATTCCCAAGAAATATTCAATAAATAATTAAACTTCTTATGTGCAAATCCATGGTTAAAGTGATAAAGTGCCCTTAATTAAGTGAAAGGTGTGCTTGAAAGTGCTATAAAATTATAATATAACTAACAGTAAGGGAGTCCTCGTCCTTACAGCCAGCGGGCGTCTGCTACGGTTGGGACCGGATCCAGCTCCACCCCAGAGCTGTCAATGCTGGGTGAGAAACATCCACCTTGAATTACTCTGGAGGAGGCTGTCGGACTCTGAACGGGGTTCAGGTTGGTCTCAGCTGGAGTACAGGGAACTACACCTGACTTTCACATTTTCAATGGAATAAAGTCATTTAATCACCATTTAATCATCAAATGTGTTACTGAATTATTGTTTCTGACCAAACCTGAGGAAGCAAAAATTAACAAAAGGAAAAACGACACTGATGAGAACGCGACCAACAGGCAGAACGGGCGACCGGCAAAATAATCGCTCGCAAAAGCAACGCCGGCCAGTTATTGTAATGGAAGTAACACTGAACGGTGTTTCAGTGCACCTGGATGAACCTTCCTTCAGTGTGTAACACCACGAGGAAGTTTTTCACTCATTTAATGCTGTTTATATAAATCTAAATCTCCACTGAAATGAGTTTGTTTCTAGACCGTCTCAATTTCCCCATGATAAACTCGGACGCTGCTAAAAAACCTGACGCCATGGCGAAATCACTGTCGCCATGAGAAGCATGCAAAGTAATAAGTCTCCTGGTCCTGTTTCCACTTTAAAAAAGTGTCAGGATAAACTGTTCCCAGTCCTGCTCACAGTGTAGAAGGAATCATGGCACCCTCAGAGTCCATTGCTCTAAATCTATCCCAGTGTCATCACTGCGACAAAGCCATCGGGCAACTTGACACGTGCTCTTCTCTTGCGCACTCCTCGCTCGCTTTTGGCAGAATTATTTCGATACCACGTCAAAGATCCTTTCAGTGACCTTCCCCCGTGTTGCCATATTTAGGCTCCCAGTCGACTACAACTGGTTTACCTCTAACCAATGAAACATTTTGGCGTTTATTTCCTTACTGGCAAGACGTCGTCTTCTCCTTCAGCAGAAGTCAACTAAGCTCCCTCCAGCACTCAGTGACACCACGTCTAAAATTGGAGAAGATTAGATATTCAGTGAAAGGTAACGCTGATAAATGTGATCATATTTGACGTCCCTATCATCCTTCTGTTCTCTTCAGTCTTTCTGATCGATGGATCCGATCTCTATCGATTCCACTCTCTCTGAGACCATGAAACGGTTCTCTATTCTAGTCTTTCGGCCTAGTTTTATATGATCATATCCCTCGTGTTCGCCCTGTTGTGTCACTTTTCTGTCAGTGATGTTTGTCTCCCTGTTTCATTTAGGTAATCCCCGTCCCATTTGTTAAGTATTCAGGTTTGTTTCAGTAGTATTCAGTTTCGTTGTCTCGTATCAGTTTCAGCTGTGTTCCCGAGGCGTTTCCTCTCTTTCAATCCCAAACCTTCTGTGCATTTATAGTTGCAGTCTTTGTCTTTTGTTTATCCCTGTTTTTCCTCCTTGTTGCTGTCCTATGCTTTGTACATGTTTCCATCTCTAGTTAGCTTGTATTCCCCAGTGTGGATTGTTTAGTTCCACAAACATTAACTGTGCAATTTCCTGCAGACGTGCACAGAAGCACTGAGTTTGGGGCTAAACTCCGCTGAGTATTAGCCTGTTAATTAAAGCATTCATGAGCATTTAAGGTTACACAAAGGATAAAGTGACAAAACGGCAGTTTTCTGACAATCCTGGATAAAACCAACAGAGATTTTGATTATTTTTATGCAAAAGTTTTCCATTTGCAAGGTGAACCAGGTAAACTTGGGGATGCATTCTTTGAGCTGTTAGTGCTCCCCACAATATCTGATGATTCAGCTTAATTTACATGCTCACACTGAGCTGAAAGAAATACAAACCATAATATCTTCCCACTTAGATAATAAAGCCAGTAACCAGATGCCTTCAACACTGGATTCTATGAAATGTTTAGCTGCTGTCCTACTTTGTTACTGCCAAAAGAAAAACTGGTTAATAGACTGAAATTATCCATCAGACCACACTGGCTTTATGCCAGGCAGGCACACGTATTTAATTTGTGTCACCTTGTCAACATTTTGTATGCAGGACAAACAGTGGAATCAGTCATTCAATGAAATAGAACCGTTCGACATGACGCAGCCTTTAAGTTTGGTTTTGGACCCACATTTATAGAATAGATTGGTACACATCACGACTGTATACAACACGTATCTGTGGATCGTATATTCTGAAGCAATTTTAATGTAAAAGTCTACATCTGCTAACAGAGAGAAGCCAAACTGTTGTTCATTGTTCTTGTAACAGTGTAACGATCTACTCTAACAAAGGTTGTCCCCTTTTCTTCCTTTATGTGCTACAGAACTACATTACATGCAGTTGAGATAATCTCGTGATGATATTCTCTGACATGTCTCTAAGTCCCCTCTCTCTTAACACCAAATCAGTTTCTGGTTTTTCTATAAATGGAGGTAAGCAGATGTATGCCGGTCTCCTCTTTGGTGGGTGTTACTTATTTACAGCCCGTCCCTTTCATAACAGCGATGGACGGGAATCACGACAGACAATCCAGAAGAACCTTCCACAGCTGGTTTGGCAAAATAAGAGAGCAAGCAAAGCGGGGCATCCATCCTGGTACGAGGATGTCAAATTAAAATAATTAACTAATATTATTGTTCTGCCACATTTTTGCCACCTATTTGGCCAATTCCTTGTTACACAGTGATTGAGAGTGGAAAATTACAAAGAAGTCAGAATTTCAAAGACTTGGGAAAACGGTCCACACTGCACACCTGCCCAGCGTGGCTGCGTATGAACAACTATCCCATAAGAATAAAACAACATTGCTTGCTGATCTCCATCACCCTACTCAAGTTAAATCATATTTTAGTAACAGGTTTGTTATTATTAAATACACTGAGAATCTGATGGATAGACAAAACAATACATTAAGGCTGCCAATATGTACTTTATGATGCTCTAATTTGTGGAAATCCTTTGAAACTAATTGGAAAACTGATCTAAACTCACAGTCTGCAAAAAGAAAGGCATGTGTAACATTTGGAATCTTTAGATAGAAAATACATTTGTGTCGCTCACACAATTAGAGAATATTTAGAAAATCCCTGCATCTGGTACTTAAAAATTTGAGATTATATATTTAAAAAAAGCAAACGTGCCCAACTCGACACCACGGATGAATAAATTCAATACTGACGCTGATAAGTCTCCTTATTCCTGTCACAGTCACGTGCAGTGGATGCCACATTACTCCACAGAAAGGTTTCATAACCCCAACATCTCACCCGTCTGTCAGAGATGCAAATCTGTCACTGGCAACTTGATTCACTCTTTCTGGTCATGTACAAAACTCAGCATGTTTCAGGGTTTTTCTGAAGCACATGGGGAGACCTGGTGTGACAGGCTCTTCAACATCAGTAAACAGGTCTGAACAGAGAAGTCAGAGAAGCTCATTTCTGACTGATGACAGCAATACAGAGGCAAGTTGTTGAAAATATCCTGAACTCTTAATAAGGGCTACTATTAGTCGCTGTTTGTTACTATTAGCCTCTATTAGCTACTATTAGCCACTATTAGCCTCTGTTAGCTACCATTAGCCTCTGTTAGCTACCATTAGCCTCTGTTAGCTACCATTAGCCTCTGTTAGCTACTATTAGCCTCTGTTAGCTACTATTAGCCTCTGTTAGCCGGTATTAGTGAAAAGTCTTTGAAGTGAAATTAACTTTGTTGGACTCTGATGCTTGGTGAGTAAACTCCAATATGGTGTGAGAATGTAATTAAACTGTTTATCAGGGGGAAAGTTTAATTTTTAGATACCAAAAAAAGGGTAACATTAGCTGGCATGATTTTATAGGGTTTATAAGCTAAGAGCAATATCAGCTTATAACCAGCTATTCTTGTTTAGCAACCTGCTGTCAGCTGCCCAGAGAGTCACATATTTAATCTGCTAACAATAAGTGAGTAAAATAACATCAGGACTACATTTGCAATACATGATCCTTCATATCTTGAGTCTAAAGGTGCAGGCCTGAATTTAAATTAGCACGAGAACACTTTGAAACCCTTCGTCTTTGGTGTGCTGTTTGGAAATTGCAATTACATATGTAATTACGCACCATGTGTATTTATGATCCTATATCCCTTTTCCAATAAACTCAAAAAATTAGCAACTTTAACTAAAATATGCTGAAAATGCTCAAGACTGAAGTGAAAATGAGTAAAACAGCAGCTTCAGAAAACACGGAGGACTAATGCTCCATCTTTATAAAGATTACAGCCTGGTTTCAAAGAGTGAACAAAAGATTTCAGCACACTACTTATTTTCCTCTTATGCTGTGTGTAAAAAATGTTTTTTTAAAAAGACTCTTTGTTCATAATAACAGACCTGTGGTCTGACCCAAAGCGGTCACTTCTAAAGATTCTCTTTCAGACACGTTTTCTAATATGTCTGACCCCACGGTGTCTGAGCCCACGGTGTCTGAGCCCACGGTGTCTGAGCGCCCACGGTGTCTGAGCCCACAGTGTTTGACCCCACAGTGTTTGACCCCCACAGTGTTTGACCCCCACAGTGTTTGACCCCACAGTGTCTGAGCCCACAGTGTCTGAGCCCACGGTGTCTGAGCCCACGGTGTTTGAGCCCACGGTGTTTGACCCCACGGTGTTTGACCCCACAGTGTTTGACCCCACAGTGTTTGACCCCACAGTGTTTGAGCCCACAGTGTCTGACCCCACGGTGTTTGACCCCACAGTGTTTGACCCCACAGTGTTTGACCCCACAGTGTCTGAGCCCACGGTGTTTGAGCCCACGGTGTTTGACCCCACAGTGTTTGACCCCACAGTGTTTGACCCCACAGTGTTTGACCCCACGGTGTCTGAGCCCACGGTGTTTGACCCCACGGTGTTTGACCCCACGGTGTTTGACCCCACAGTGTTTGACCCCACAGTGTCTGACCCCACGGTGTTTGACCCCACGGTGTTTGACCCCACAGTGTTTGACCCCACAGTGTCTGAGCCCACAGTGGGTCATAACATTCACCACCAGGTTTGCGTACCAGCCAGTCTGTGTGGGATGGAGTTGGAGTGTTGGCTCAGGTAGCTCTTGTTGAAGCTCTGAGGGCTGCTCTCTCCAAACAGCCTGGAGATCTCGTGCTTCAGCACCGTTCTCACTGCCTCTGCCAGATCCGTGCTCCCACTCACTGTAAGTATATAAGACAGCCCAGTGAAGCTTTGAACGGTGATACCCCGAGACAATCACAGCAGTTCACGTAGCTCACAGAAGGTCACACTTACCTCCTTTGAAAAAGCGGACAAGACACTGATGCAGCCATGGATTATTAGGTTCTATGTGAACAGCCCTCTTTATGGACTGTAGCATCAGCAGGTACTTCTCTGGAGAAAGACAGAGGGACAACGTTTTTGTCATTTTTGCAGAATGTAAGAAAGTCGAACTCTGAATTCCTCCATCTACCTTCATTTCTAGATGTTCAGGCTGCTAGTTATTATTACATCTCTTAAGCTTTCTCGTTTTCCATGAGTCAATCTCTTCCATCCTAGTGCTCTTCTGTGCCTTTCAGATTCTCATTCAGGTGACCATCATCTCCACCTCACTCTGGAACCAGGCCATGAAGGAGAGGGTCTAGTGGCAGAGCCCTAGCCCACAGAGTCATGTTAAGGTGCAGCACAAATTAGCAACATGGGCCCGCCTTCTTGGGGCTCACCACCCGAGTGAATTGGTTTGTGGTCAACAGTTGAGGCCCTTGCAGTCTGACCCCTGGCTACTGAAATAAGCTCGAGACTTGACACGTCACCTTCCTAATGGGCAGCCTGAGCTTGAAGGAGCATGAAGGTGAGAGATACCATCAGGTAGATGTTTCTCTGCACCTCTAGGTTGGGGAATGTGTCCGACTGTGCTTTGATTTGTGCCGTTGCTGGAGGAGATTCTGGAAGGAACTGGTGAAAAACACCAGGAAGTTCGATCAGGTAGCAGGACAGGATGTTTGACAGGCATGGTTTACCCACAAATATAGTGAGGGCACAAGTGCACTGCAGTACCAGCGTGGCATTTCAGAGGCCATGGACCATGAGAACTTCAAGTTCATCCTCCAGAAGAACTTCAACAGAAGTCAGAGAAAGGGTGGGGACATGGGAGTCAGAGCGGCATGCAGACTCATCTGCATGCCCTCACCCACACTTTCCCTCTTCATCTACAGAGTTAGACCCTGCAGCATCAAAGCAAACACTGCTCCACACTAAACCTGCACGTCATGTTACTGTGACAATAAGCCAACGATACTTCTGGAACACCTAGTATGGACTTGGGCACTGGAATAGCAATACAACAGTACAAACTGAGATGAGTCTTTGTGCTGAAGCCCGTCTCACCTTTCCTGAAGTAGATCTCAAAAGCCAGCAGATGAGTCTCAACCTTTTTCCGCACCAGGTTCTTAAGTGGGATCAAGAACTTGACTGCTTCATCCAAAGGATTCTCCGGCTGGAAGGAGGAGTTGTTTCATTAGTAACATGTATGACTGAGGGCAGCTGCACCAGCTGCAAACATCTGCCCACCTTGGCCAGTTTGTCTGGTATTAGCTCCTCTTTAGGCCCTCCAATCTCTTCGTCATCATCCTCCTTCTTCTTCTTCTGGTTCTTGAGCTGCTTTTCCTTCTCTGCGTTCTTCTTCTCCTCTTCTAACTGGGCCTTCTTCTGTGCTCTTCGCTGTTTATTGCGCAGTTTCTTCAGCTCCTTGTCTGTCAGATTTTCTATAGAGAAGAAAGAGAACACCAGTGTTATGACATAATGCAGTGCCTTATACTCCAGCTTTGCATGTCTGCTACGTCTGAAGACAGAACAGACCTCAACTTGACTGTGCACCGAAAGACTGGTTTTAAAATTTGATTTAGTAAACAACTCGGGCTTAACCCCTGTACAGCAGCGGTCCCCAACCCCCGGGCCTCGGACCAGTCCGTGAGTCGTTTGGTGCCGGGCCGCGAGAGTAGAGGCTCAGGTCTGAAATGTCTGGTTTTCAGGGTTTTTATCGGTTTTCAGCGTTATTTTGTTATCGTTTTTATCGTTTACTCTGTTTTCCTGGGTCTTTTCACGTGTGTTATGAATAAATCTTTTTTTGGGTACCAGTACTAGTTTTATTTTGTTGTGTTTATCCGCGACACCTTAAAGGCCGGTCCGTGAAAATATTGTCGGGCATAAACCGGTCCGTGGCGCAAAAAAGGTTGGAGACCGCTGCTGTACAGGACACCAGGCCAAAGCTTCTGGCTATGTGTGCAGGCCTGTACTGCAGAACACAGCCTAAGCTTGTGGATCGAGTCTGTGAACATATCAGATTCTGAAACTCAGAACTGTTAATGGCTTTTTTGTTTGTTTTAGTTCAGTTTTGTTTGTTTTTTACATTTTGTGCAATGTCCCAAATTTGAAAATGCTGTTTTCATGTACAGAGATAGTTTCACACAAGTTCTGCAGGAAAATGCATCCATTTTTGTTTTCTGAGTGGTATGAAAGTTACACATCTTTACAAGCAAAGACTAAAAAAGCCAAGACCCCCCACGAGTGTTCTGAAAGTTAAAATCATCTTTAACTCTTTAACAATCTGTATTTCAGAAGCTTCAATCCCTGCAAGCCTAATATCCTTACAAACAAACTAAGCCTAAATTTGCATTGCGACACATCCATCGGAGTATGAATGTGTATGAATGGTAGACAGGAAGAACTTGCCTGTGTGATTGGGTGAATGAGGCAAGCTGTGTAAAGCTGAGTGCTCAGATAGGGTAGAAAGATAAGAACCAGTTCATAACATCGTTAAAAAAACTACTTGTAAATCAAAGTCGTGCTGCGCGTGCACATAGAGTCTGACCCGTGTCTGCCTGGCTCTCCTTGCTGTCATCAGTCAGAGGTTTGTCGTGCAGGGTCAGGTAGATCTGTATTGCAGTGCGAGCAGCTTTGTAATAAAATGGGTGCTGCCGTAGGACATCCTCCAGCTTCAGCAGGTCCACGTAGGAGCGCAGCGTCATCTTCCTCATGCAGTAGGTGTGGAAGTCAAACTGGTCATCAGTGATCTCCACAAAATGCTGATGAGGAGAAGAAGGGGGCAGCTTTGATCAGCAGGTGATCAGAAAACTTCTGATCGTTATGATAACGTTAGGTCGTCTCAGTTACTTGGATTAAGACTTTGTGGAAATTAGCTGAACTTGAAAGGTAAGACTGTGCTGCAATCTGATGTTTTTGGAAATCTTTTATTTGTCTTCAAGCCAGAGATTGTCACCTGAACTAGAGAGGTAGCAGGATATTGTAGAAAAGGTTTGAACGTTTGTCGTTAGCAGTTGGGTGGAACGTGTGAATATGAACAATGAACTCACTCTCTCAATTTCATGGCACTTCTTCAGGGCCTCTCCGTACTTGTTCAGCGCCTTGTAGGCCAACGCACATTCTGTCTGGAACCACATGCACTGCATCTCGTTCAGGTTATCCACTGCCGACGTGCCTTCCTGAAATACACAAACTTCCAAACTTACTTTGTGCCACCAGAAGACAAACTGAGGAAAGTGATATGTGCTGGTGCTAAGCTGAAGCTGAGTAGCTGAAGAAAAGGTTTACGTAGACAACGAGGTTGGTGTTTGTCTTCATGCAAACAGACGGATCACATCTTTGATCTTTTCAGCTTTGAGCTGAACTTGACAGCATTTCAGTCACAGCTGCACTGACCCTGTACAGCAGGTTTGTTGTGTCAGAGCGATGTCTGTGAAGGGCATCGTAGTCTAAGGAGCTTGGAAAGAAAAGCGTCTGGACTTCTTTAAGTTGTCCCTCTTTGGGGGGTTACTCCCACGGGGTTTAAATCTGGGACTCTCCACCATGTGACTCATAGAACTGAAGAAGCTTCTCGGATGAGAGGTGAAACGTCTTCAAGCAACTTACAGAAGTCCAGACGCTTTTCTTTGTAAGCTCCTTAATCACAGAGTGATGCAAAAGGCAATGCAACACACACACACGCACGCACACACACACGCACACACACACACACACGGGTTTTTGGCTCAGAGAAGAGCTCGAGAGGATGTGGAGGGTGAAGGTGACGGTGGTCCCCGTGGTAATCGGAGCACTCGGTGCGGTGACTCCCAAGCTAGGCGAGTGGCTCCAGCAGATCCCGGGAACAACATCGGAGATCTCTGTCCAGAAGAGCGCAGTCCTGGGAACAGCTAAG